TAGCTATACTCCTCGAAATTTGTAAAAACAGATTTGATATTTTATTTTTCCAAGAAACACCTTGGAATTTCATAAGACACGCACCATCTACCACTAGTATGGAGGGCGATGAGGTCACCGGTACACCAAAGCATCCCGACTGGCTGCAGATGGTGCGCATTAAGGAAGGGGAAGTTCCCTGTGTGATCGCCTACGTTTCGACTAGGCTATCCCGCTATTGTCCCGCTATGCGTCGCGACATCGTCGACCATCGCGACATTCTCGTCCTCTCCCTCTTTAGTGGGGGTGAGGTTCTTAATCTAATGAACGTCTATTCTGATGATCAACACACAGCCATTGAGCACCTCGCTGCTCATGTGCATTCTCTACCACCCTTCATTTATATGGCCAGTGACTTCAACTGCGTGTCAACGACTTGGGATGACTATGAGCATGGCGAGTCATTGACGGCTATATCCTTGCGGGATACCGCATCTCAGATCGGCCTCGAGTGGGTGCGACCTTCCAACCATGGACCGACGAGGATCAGTCCTAATCCAAACCAGAGATCCAACGTTTTGGATCTTGTATTCTTAGCTCCATCTGAGATTCTAATCTCGATGCCCAGATTGGAGCACGATCTTCAGGGTCCATCAGATCATGTCCCGATCTGTACAGATCTTGATATCAGTCCTGAACCGCCCGGATCTGGGTGACAGACAATTAAACCTGGAAGCGAGGCTGAAAAGTCTTTCATTTTGGATATTCTCCGGGATCTTGCGGCTATTCCTGTCGCAGCCCCAGCGACCAAGGAAGGTGTCGAAGCTTTAGCCGATGCTATTGCGACAGCATTCTCGGACGCGTGGCTTGTCCATTCGACCAAGTCCAAACCTACCAAACGCTCCAAGTCCTGGTGGACGGATGAGTGCTCGGAGACTTTCGGGGTATATCAGTTGAGCCGTTCGCTCGCTGATTACACCAAGTTCAAGAAGGCGTGTAAAAAAACGCCAAGCGTGATTTCTTTGATGAACGCATCGCAGAAATCGCTACTTCTTGCAAGCGCCCATGGGACCTGATGGAATGGGTCAAACAGCGTAAGCTACCACCCTGTGAGGCTATTTGCAATGGCGACCAGCCTTGCCACAATATGGACGACCTTTGGGACGCCCTGCATGGCACGTACAACTCGGCCTCTGGTCGCGAGTACGACGCCTCAGTCTTAGACGAGCTTCCCGATGAGCCGGTCCGCGAGTGGGCTGACTTCTCGGAGCATGAGTTGTTGAGTGCCCTTAAGGGGTGCTCCAACTCCTCTGCACCAGGACCGGACCATATCACATGGGTCCACCTAAAGGAGCTGCTCAAGGATAAACACGTCCTTGCGCTCTTCATCGTGTTGGCCAACGCTTGCCTTCGGGTGGGTCATTGGCCACGTATATTCAAGGAGTCGCTATCGGTTATTGTTCCGAAGCCGAACAAGCCCTCCTATTCTGTGCCGAAGGCCTTCAGGCCAATTGTACTCCTCATCACTTTCGGTAAACTTATCGAAAAGATGATCGCCAATAGGATACAGTTTGACGCTGTCAAGCATGATATCTTCCATCCTAACCAACTTGGCGGCATCTGCCAGAGGTCAACTGAGGATGCTGGATTGATTCTGACCCATCTCATGCGAGTGGGGTGGGTTAAGGGTCTCCAGACTAGTGCGCTGGCTTTTGACATCGTGCAGTTCTTCCCTTCTATCAACCATGAGATGTTCATGGCTGTTCTTCGCAAGCAAGGGTTTTCGCTGGTTCTGGTGGAATTCTTTGCCTCCTACCTTGTAGGCCGTTCCACAGTTTACTGTTGGAACACCTTCCAATCCGACTCGCGGTCTGCGGATGTGGGTGTCGGGCAGGGCTCTGCTCTCTCGCCTGTTATCTCTGGGCTGTTCATTGCTCTGGTAATGAAGCTCTTCTACATCAAAGCGGCGCCACTTAACATGACGCTGCTCTCCTTTGTGGATGATGGGACCATTCTGGCCCAATCCAAACAACTTGATGATAATAATGTGGGCCTGCGTAAGGCCTACAAAATTATCTACCTTCTCTTTGTTGCCTTCGCGCTTGTTCTTGAACACGACAAGACCGAGCTATTTCACTTTTCGCGTCGACGAGATGCCTACAATCCCTCGCTGGATTTGGGGTATGCCCCACATACCGGCGCTACACCTTTGAAGCCCAAGACCTATTGGAGGTACTTGGGCTTCTACTTTGACCGCGGGCTCACGTTCCATGAGCACGTTCGCTACTACGCCACCAAGGCATTTACCACCGTGCAGGCCATGTGCATGCTCGGGAACTCTACTAGAGGTCTCTCACCTAAACAGCGCCGCCTCTTGTATCGGTCGTGCGTGGTTCCCATTGCCACATACGGCTATCGTCTCTGGTATTTTGATGGCGCCTGCAATAAAGGCGCGATGAACCAGCTAAAACGGATGCAGCGTAAAGCTGCTCCATGGATCACAGGTGCTTTCCGCACCTCACCTACAGGCGGTCTTGAAGCCCTCGCTGGCCTCATCCCTGTCCATCTTATGCTGAAGAAGCTGGCAACGCGTGCAGTGTATCGCGTCGCCACCCTCTTTGCTCCATGATGGGCGAGGGACTCCTCAAGCGAGCCGCACCACACGCTCGCTCCGCCGCCTTGATGACCCCAGCCATGCGGGGGAAAGTAAAGAGCACTGTCATGGAAGTGGACGAGCGCGTCCACACCTTAACTGAGAGCTTCGAGCCCTTTGCGCCCGAAGCTCGTCCAGGCGACCGGTTACTGGACCGCTATGCGGACCGTCTCCATTTTGACGAGCGTGATCCTGGCCAGGATAGGCGCCCATATCTAGACGAGCTCATTGCGACAGCAAGGGCCGACCCACTAACAGTACTGGCTGCAACTGATGGCTCTGTCCCTCAGTCCAACCAGTACCAGGCGGCTTCGGCTGCTATAATCTACAAGGGACATCGCGAGCTCGAGAGGACTCGCTATGTCTCTGGCAGAGTTACCGCCCCAGATGCGGAACTCAATGCCATTTCGTGTGCAGTGCGCCTAGCTGTCAAGCAGGCAAACTGCCAACATATTATGGTCTTTACTGACTCTATGGGCTCGGCCCATAGAGCGGTGGACCCCTCCGTGCACTCTGGTCAGGCTTTCAGCCTGTCAGTATGTCGCGCCCTTCAAGAGTGGTTTGAGGCGGATGATCTCCGCCGCGTTACCTTGGTCTATGTCCCCTCCGCTTTGCGGTGGGACATCCATGGTGAAGCACACAAGTACGTCACCGACCTCAAAGTTAGGGTTGGACATCAAAAGACGGACAACTCTATAGACACGCTACACTCTCGAGCTGCGCACTCAGTCCTGGATTCGTGGAGTTCCACTTTCCAGGATCCAACCTACCGAGGCTCTGAATTTTTAGAGCTTCAACAGCCGGACGGGCGGCCACTACAGCCATCGTACCTCAATGGGGGACCTTGGCTTTCAACCTTTGGACACAGTATAACTGAGTTCGCTCACGTCTGCCAGTGCATAACTGGCCACGCGCCCATTGGAGCGTATTACCGACGCTTCAAGATCAACGAGCCTCACGGCTGCACTTGCGGGGCTGCTTTGCAGTCCCGCCAGCACATTCTCCTTCGCTGTCGTGATCGCTACTCCGTGCATTACCCCCGATTTCTTGGGGACATTGCAGCTTTTATGAAGTACAACCCCACGGCGTTTGGCTTCACCCGGGACCCTTCGGGGGTCGGATAATCGTTGTGGGCGGGGTTATTCCTCCTTTTGGGGGATTTATGGTGAATTAACACCCTCGGACCCTAGGGTTCGGAGACCTGCGCCCGCAACAACTCCTTCGTGCAGGCGGTCAAACCCTTTTTTGGTTGATCGCAGCACCGCTAACCTTCTGCGTCTGGTTTCGGGCAGGCGCGCCTCTGGCTGGTCGGCCTTAAGACACCCTGCCACCTCCCGGGTGGTGCTGTTTTATTTCATTTGCGCTGCGCGGCCTCCGAACAGCGTCCGACGGCTCTGGGGTTTAGCAGGGCCTCGATGGTCTCCTCCCCTTATCCCATGTCACCGTTTTTGTGAGGTGGGTCTGGCTTTGTGGGAGTTTAGGTGTTTGAGCCATAAGGCTCGTGGTTGGGGGGGCGGACGTCATTCAGTAGTTTACTTAGTACCCAGGCCGCGTAGCGTACGTGTTTGTAGATAGCGAGCGGGCTGCCATCGAGCACCGCTATATAAATTGTTGATCAAAAAAAAAAAAAAAAAAAAAATAGAATAACATACTATGATTATATAATAGATAACTCAGCCAAGACAATAAGAAATGTGGACCGTCTCCACTTTGACGAGCGCGACCCTACCCAGGATAGGCGCCCATATCTCGATGAGCTCACCGCAAAAGCGAGAGCCAACCCTCTAACAGTACTGGCTGCAGCTGACAGCTCTGTCCCTCAGTCTAACCAGTATCAGGCGACTTCAGTGGCTATCATCTACAAGGGATATCGCGAGATTGAAAGGACTTGCTACGTCTCTGGCAGAGTTACTGCCCCAGATGGGGAACTCAATGCCATTGCGTGTGCAGTGCGCCTGTCTGTCAAGCAGGCAAACTGTCAACACATCATGGTCTTTACTGACTCTATGGGCTTGGCCCACAGAGCAGTTGACCCCTCTGTGCACTCTGGTCAGGCTTTCAGTCTGTCAGTGTGTCACGCTCTTCAGGAGTGGTTTGAGGCAGATGATCTCCACCGCATCACTTTCGTCTACATTCCGTCCACTCTCCGGTGGGACATTCATGGTGAGGCACACAGGTACATCACTGAGCTCAAGTCAGGGTTGGACATCACAAGACAGACAATTCTATAGATGTGCTTTTTTTTTTTTTTTTTTTTTTTTTTTATCAACAATTTATATAGCGGTGCTCGATGGCAGCCCGCTCGCTATCTACAAACAAATACGCTATGCAGCCTGGGTACTAAGTAAACTACTAAAAGACATCCGCCCCCCCAACCACGAGCCTTGTGGCTCAAACGCCTAAACTCCCACAAAGCCAGACCCACCTCACGAAAACAGTGACACGGGATAAGGGGAGGAGACCATCGAGGCCCTGCTAAACCCCAAAGCCATCAGACGCTGTTTGGAGGCCACACAGCGCAAATGAGATAAGAAAAGCACCACCCGGGAGGTGGCAGGGTGTCTTAAGGCTGACAAGCCAGAGAAGCACCTGCCCGAAACCAGACGCAGAAAGTTAGCGGCGCCGCAGCCTGCTACAATAGCGGCTGCAAGCGCAAAGAAATAGCGGTGGGCGCAGGTCTCCGAACCCTAAGGTCCGAGGGTGTCAATTCACCAATAAATCCTCCAAAAGGAGGAATAACCCCGCCCGCAGCAATTATCCGACACCCGAAGGGTCCCGGTTGAAGCCAAACACCGTGGGGTTGTACTTCATAAAGATGCAATATCCCCAAGAAAGCGGGGGTAATGCACGGAGTAGCGATTGCGACAGCAAAAGAGGACGTGCTGGCGAGACTGCAAAGCAGCCCCGCAAGTGCAGCCATGAGGCTCGTTGATCTTGAAGCAATGATAATACGCTCCAATGGGTGCATGGCCAGTTATACACCGGCAAACGCGGGCGAACTCAGTGATACTGTGTCCGAATGTTGAGAGCCAAGGTCCCCCATTGAGGTACGATGGCTGTAGTGGCCGCCCGTCAGGCTGTTGAAGCTCTAAGAATTCAGAGCCTTGGTAGGTTGGATCCTGGAAAGTGGAACTCCACAAATCCAGGACTGAGTGCACGGCTCGTGAGCGTAGCGCGTCTATAGAATTGTCCGTCTTGCGACGTCCAGTCCTGACTTTGAGTTTGGTGACGTACTTGTGTGCGTCACCATGAATATCCCATCGCAGAGCAGACAGGACGTAGACGAAGGTGATGCGGCAGAGGTCATCCGCTTTGAACCACTCTTGGAGAGTGCGACAAACTGACAGGCTAAAAGCCTGACCGGAGTGCACAGAAGGGTCAACCGCTCTATGGGCCGATCCCATAGAGTCAGTGAAGACCATAATATGTTGGCAGTTCGCCTGCTTAACAGCAGGACTGGAACGTACCAACCCACAGGTTTCCATACCCCAGTTCCTCTCTCTCCGGCTCTTCCAACTGTTCTTGAACAAATGGAAACGGAAAGCACGGATGAACCTGCCGAAATTTGTTTCCTTCGGAACCAAACTCACCTCACGGAAGCCATCCACCTCATGGCCAGGAACATGTCGAATATGCCCATGATGCAGCCGCGTCAAGAGCTGACTCCTCGGCCCAAGTTGAAGGCTCCGGATGTGTTCGACGGTACAAGCGCCCAAAAGTTGGATCCCTTCCTCGTCCAGTGCATGATGTATATTTCGCTCCGGCCCCACGAGTTCACCACCGAAGACTCCAAGGTCAGCTTCATTATGTCATACCTATCCGGCTCCCCCTACAACTGGTTCCAATCACAAATCACTGCCGCCCTCAAAACCGGTATGACCCAGCCGCTTCCGTGGCTTTCAGATGTTGCGCTCTTCATTCAGGAGCTCAAGCAACTTTTCGGCCCACGAGATCCAGTTGCGGATGCCGTTAACCACCTCGAGAATCTCACCTTCTGAGACTCTGGCAAAGCAACGCGATACACCTTGGAATTCAACCAGTATGCGGGTCGCACAGGATGGAACGAACGAGCCCTTTATCATCAGTACTACAAAGGACTTCCGAACCGGATCAAGGACGAATTTCCTCGTATGGGCAAGCCAACCACCCTCATTAGTTTGCAGCGAACCGCCCAAGAACTCGATCATCGCTATTGGGAGCGCCAAAACGAGATCAATCGCGAAAAGCGCAAAGACAACGCCAACAGCAAGTCCGGCACCAGCAACAACAACAGCAGCAACAACTCCGGCTCATCAAACTCCAAAGGCAACTCAGCCGGGTCGTCTTCCGGCTCCGGCTCTTCGAACTCCAAGTCCGGCTCCAACTCCAGCAACAACAGCAAGGATAAGGATAAGTCAAAATCCAAAGGCTCTTCTTCGGATAAGCTGAATCCTCTGGCTGACAAGTTGGGTGCCGATGGAAAGCTCAAGCCCAGGAACGTGAACACCGGCTCAAGGGAGGCCTCTGCCTCTTCTGCGGCAAAGCTGGCCATGTTGCTTCCGACTGTCGCAAGTGTAACTCCGCCAAAGGTCGCGCCTCGTCTACTACGGCCGCTCCTCCTTACACCGCTTCCGCACCTGCCGCTCCAGCTGTGAAGGACACTAAGTCTGGAACAGCAAAAGAGTAAGCAGCCCTCCGCCTTCAGCATTGCCAGAGGGTTGCGGTTGCTCTCGCGATGTCCCCAAAGAAGTTCGCCTTAATGCCACAGCACTATCCAACCCCAACTCCCTCACACTCCCTGTTACATTACACTCACGATCTACAGTTCCTGCCACCAGCTTGGTAGATTCTGGCTCCACTCATTGTTTCATTGACACTAATTTCGTATCTATACATAATGTCTCCACTTATGATATACCTCCTTTAGCCTTACGCCTCCTTGATGGGACTGTTAACACTTGGATAACCCAAGCTGCCGACATCCCTATCCGATATCCGACTGGCGACATTCTCTCCTCAACCTTCTTTGTCACTAAACTGGATTCTTCATGTGCCCTAGTGTTTGGATACAATTGGCTGCATAATTACAATCTGTTGATTGACTGGACTGCAGGCCTTTTACATTCTTTCCAACGTCTTCCGCAATCCGAGGCTCTGCCGAGTCTATCAGGCCGTTCAGCTTCCGTCTTACCGCCCACTCCAGTCGTTGCCAAGTCACTTCCAGTCCCTCCTATTCCTCCTATCCCGCCTACTCCTTCCCTTCCTTATGAACCTTCTCCCAAACCATCCACTCCCTTGCCTCACGTTTCCCTCATCAACGCAGTCGCCTTCGCACGCGCCTGCCGTCTTCCGGGGTCAGTCTCGTTCCAACTGGCCCTATCCGGCGACGGTTCGGTCTTGGCTCGCTCTTCGGCTACCAACAACCCGGAACCCGTCGACCTCTCTTCCGTCCCAGAAGACTACCACGAATTCCCAGACATGTTCAGCAAATCCAAGGCTGACACCCTCGCACCTCATCGTCCCTATGACCTCAAGATCGACCTTGAGGAAGGTGCCGAGCCGCCCCTCAGCTGGATGTATTCTCTCTCCCCTACCGAACTTCAAGCCTTGCAAGAGTTCCTGGAAGAGAATACTCGATCCAAGTTCATCCGACCATCCAACTCGTCTCATGGAGCCCCTATCCTCTTTGTTCGGAAGAAGGATGGCTCTCTTCAGCTCTGTGTTGACTACTGCAGCCTTAACAAAGTCACCAAGAAGGACCGCTATCCCCTCCTGCTCATCTCCGACCTGTTGGACGCTCCTGGCAAAGCCAAGGTTTTCACCAAGATTGACCTTCGGCACACCTACCACCTGGTCAGAATCGCAGATGGCGACAAATGGAAAACCATGTTCTGGACCCACTACGGCTCGTTCGAATGGAGGGTTATGCCATTCAGCTTATCCAACACTCCGGCTGCTTTCCAGCGATTCATGAACAACATCTTCTCGGATCTCATCAATATTTCGGTTATCATCTACCTGGATGACATTCTCATTTACTCTTCAGATCTCGCCTCGCACAAGGAACATGTCAAGGAACATGTCAAGGAAGTGCTCCTACGTCTTCAGAAGCATGGACTTTATGCCTGGCCTGACAAGTGCGAATGGCACGCTGATCGTGTTGAGTACCTCGGCTATATTCTTTTGGCTGATGGTCTCTCCATGGTGGCAGACAAGGTCAAGATCATCCAGGACTGGCCCGAGCCACGGAAAGTCAAGGACATTCAGTCCTTCCTCGGCTTCGCCAATTTTTATAGACGGTTCATTTACAATTATTCCGACATCTGCGTTCCTCTCACCTGGCTCACTCGGAAAGGTGTTCCCTTCAAGTTTTCTGATGAAGCCTGGGAATCGTTCAACTACCTCAAGAAAGCCTTCACTACGGCTCCTGTCCTCACCCAATGGATTCCAGATCGGCCCATCATCCTCGAAACCGATGCTTCCGACTATGCCCTCACTGCTATCCTCTCTATCGAGCTGACCAATGGAGAAATCCACCCGGTTGCTTTCCACTCCCGTACATTCAATCCAACCGAATTCAACTATGACGTCCACGACAAGGAACTTTTTGCGATCTATGAATCGTTCTGGATCTGGTGGCACTACCTGGAAGGCTCCGGCACTCCCATCGATGTTGTTACTGACCACAAGAATCTTGAGTATTTCGCTACCACGAAACTCTTGAACCGTCGGCAGGCACGTTGGTCCGAGTACCTAAGTCAGTTCAACCTCATCGTTCGCTTCTGACCTGGCAAGCTCGGTGCCAAACCGGATGCCCTTACTAGACGATGGGACGTCTACCTTAAAGAGGGAGGTAGCGACTACGCCACTGTCAACCCCCACAACTTCCGTCCAGTATTTACCCAGGAACAGCTGGCTATGTCCCTCCGAGCGTCAACTCTGATCACACCCTCTCTGCGTGGAGCTATCACCCTCGACATCGAAAAGCTTCATGCCGACATCTGAGAAGCCCTTCCTGAACGATCCGATCTCTGCTGCTCAACTTCCGGCACCCTCTGACCCCAAGTTCACTCTCTCCCCTGACGGCCTACTACTTCTCAACAATCATATCTTTGTTCTGGACGTTAACAACTTGCGGATCCGTGTGTTGCAAACCAAGCACAATCATCCGTTAGCTGGTCACTTCGGCCAGAACAAGACTCTCAAATTGGTCCGACGAGAATATGCATGGCTCGGCATGCGCGACTTTGTCAAAGACTACGTCAATTCTTGTGTTATTTGCAACCGAGTCAAGCTGCGCTGCCACAAGCCTTATGGGCTCCTTAAGCAGCTTCCGGTTCCCGAGCGTCCTTGGAATTCTATATCCATGGACCTCATTGAGAAGCTTCCGCCTTCCGCTGGTTTCACTGACATCCTAGTCATCGTCGATAGGCTCACAAAGCAAGCCATGTTCGTGCCGACACATTCCGACCTCACAGCTGTCAAGTTGGCCGAGTTGTTCATCCTCAATGTATTCTCCAAGCATGGTGTCCCCTCTCACGTCACTTCCGATCGTGGTTCCAAATTTGTCTCTCTCA